AAGGAAGTTGCTCTGATATATGTCTGTCTTGTCTTCAGCTAGTGTTATGTACTAGAGTGGAGGGGTAAAGGGTAATGGTTTTGAAGACATTCCACAGGACAAGTTCCTAAAAGCAGTATGCTTCACTGACTTGTTTACCAGTGCTGTAAAATAATGCATGCTATCCAAACTCAGCAAATAAAATAAGTTTAAAAACCTGTTGAAATGTCTGCTCAGTTCTGTTCAGGAATCTTTCTTATGCTGTTAAATTCTTTGCAGGAGTTTGGAGGATAGAATCAAAGTGTATTATGATTTATATAGTCCCCCTTTGAGGCTTTCAGTTTTAATTTATTCACTGGAATGCTCTTTACTGTCAGGATGGCTTAGGATCCTGGCACGCTTCCTGGTTTTCTTCACAAATGTAACTGGGAATCTTAATGTCTTAGTTAACTCCGTTAACTATTTCTTTATTCCTTTTTTACTTCTTTTCCATTGTTGGTGTTACTGAACTACCCTTACTCTGCATCTTCAGAGCCTGTTTTTAAGATCCTCATTTCCACTGACTAACATGGATAAATGCATGTTTGATTCACCTCTTAAATATGGGGTGAAGAACTGAAGACTCTTAGGCATATTTAAAAGGAGTATGGGTGAAGGAAATGAAAAATAGAACAATGGAGCATCTATAAACTGCAAGGTTTTTATTCAATCTTTATAACATTCCCTAAAAAGCTTTTGTTTGCATATAAAGTACATTTTTTTGTTTTGTTTTGCTTTTTGGGGAAAAAAAAATCCCCATCCTGCCGGTCTACTTTTTTTTTCTTTTTATTTAAAGTCACCACACAGATAACATTTTTCATTACATTAATGTTGCTTCAGGGGAATGAAGTTTCTGATGGAAACCTGTAGCACATATAGCAAGATTTGACTGTAAGCTGTGTAGGAAAGTAACTGTTGAACTTGTAAATAAATAACTTGTATTCATTAAAGTCATAAATTAGCAGGAGTCTGTTAGTGCTTTTCAAAGGAAATGATAAATTCATTCACAACTGCTTTACTTTTAGCTGCTATTAACATTATCTGGGATGTTCCTGCTTGCTGAGTGTTTTCTCAGAGCAGTGACAAAGCAGCTGGTCATATATCTTGGGTAACTGGATTTTGCAAGAGCTGAAGACATACCACTTCTTTTGGGTGCCCAGGCAGATACCTCTCACCTTAACCATTGCAAACTTCCTCTACAGCTTGTAAAGTATGAGAGTGCTGGTGCTGGGTTCAGGGTTTAGAGTACGCTTCTTGCTTGTTGGAAGTCATGGTTTGAATCTCTTTCTAAGCCCCCTGGGGAGCACAGATTCACACCTCTTCCTTCTGGGATGCTCTGAGTGTTGAAGCATGCCAGCCTTCATGTCCTTCAGGGAACTATTGCTTAGGTTGAGCTGTGCCTAATTGTGCTTGGCTTAATTCCTACTTGATACCAATGTGCGATGCAGAAAAGAAATCTTGTTTCTGGCTGTATCAAAACAGAACAGTAAATATCTGCCTTTGGGCTGACAGTGGAGACCTACTTTGTGTCTGAGGACTGGTGGGAATTATCTCAGGAAATCCTGTAAGCTCATGACAAATGCGTTTCAGGACTGTGGAAAGATAAGTGACCAAAGCTCTTTCAAAGCAGCCCTATGAGTAGAAAGATGTTCAGAATTGCTCTTCTGTGAGGATAAACAATTTGTTGTAAATTCCTGGTAATTGGAAGTGTGCCTATTAGAGGTGAGTTGGTATTGAATAAGCTGACAGCAAACATAGCACAAGGTTCAGCAGACAGCTCTTGCTTCTTTTGATGGGTGCAGCCCCTGAACAAAATTACTTGCTCATTGAGCTTTTCAGCTGGGCAAGATATTGTCAGTAATGTCATCTTTGGTTTATGAAGGGTAATATGTTAAGTTGACCAGATTTTGATAATGAAATTTTTTTGGCCTTTAGAAGGAAAGGGACTTTTTATGAGAACAAGTAGTGACGGGGCAAGGGGGAATGGCTTTAAACTGAAAGAGGAGAGATTTAGATTAGATATTAGGAAGTTCTTTACTGTGAGGGTGGTGAGACAATGCAAAGGGTTGCTCAGAGAAGCTGTGGCTGCTCAATCCTTTGAGGTGTTTGAGGCCAGGTTGGATGGGGCTTGGAGCAACCAGGTCTAGTAGAAGGTGTCCCTTCCTCAGTGGCAGGAGGATTGGAACTAGATGATCTCTAAGGTCCCTTTCAACCCAAACCATTGCGTGATTCTATGATCTGTTAAATACAGAAGAGCAGAAGGTGCGGCCTCCACCAGGAGGAAGGGTACAAACCACACAGGTGTGATTCATCTGTGTGGACTCCTGGCAAAGACAGTGATTTGGCAGCTTTGTGGGTGTGTTTGTAACTTGTTTTGTCATTTTGCAGTGCAATACCTATATTGTCATATGAAGGTTCCTCAGTGTTAATCCAGTCAGGCAAGAAAAGAAGTAGGCTGATGCCCAAGGTTATTTCTTCATGGGAAAATTAAATGAATCAGAGCACCCAAGCAACACTGGGTAAGACCGTGAGACTGAGGCTGGAGCATAATGGCAATGGGTGAATGGTTAGACGCTTGCAGGGGATATCTTGAGAATCTCCGGCTGTGTTAATTTTGCTTACAGTAGAACCCAGACTTCTCAAAACAGTGAGTACTATCCCAAAACAACGTTCTTCCAGAACAGCTTGAAATATATCGGTGCTTTGTGAAACTGATTTATTCATAATGTGAAATGTACTTAATTACTTAGGTTGTATTTACTTTGCATTTATTTTTTCAGTTTTATATTCTTTTGTCTGTGGAAATAACTAGCTATCTTAATTATCCTCTGATCTTTTTGCTTGTCATTTTGTAATTGGTCTCTAATGACGGTGTTGTCACTTCTAAGAAAATGTGAAATTTTCATATAGCTAAAGTTACTGTAAGGATCACTCTGCTCTCAGAACTGTGAATTAAACTGGGAATAAAGACAATAAAGTGCTTAAGGTAGAGGAAAAGGAGGGATAGTTTTCTGGTGTGGTACAAAGCACTTTGCTTTTAAACCAACAGAAGTCATGGAGTAAGGTCTCTGAATTTAAGGCTGTGATATGTTAACCAACATTAGGATTACTTTTCACATACATGATCTTTTTACTATTTCTTACTGGTTTATGAGGCTTTTTCTCTCTTTCTCTCCTCACACTGCCTAGCCGCACTGCCTCACTCCTCACTTTCACTCTTGTTGAGGGCTTTGCCCCCCTGGGGGGCTGTGGCCAAATGAAATGAGCTGCGGAAGGAGGATGGGCAGCTGGTGACAGTCTTCTGAATTGAGTGGAAAATATCTGAGGGTATGGAAGTGTTCTCTTTCTAGAAAGTCCCTTCCACGTGAGAGGGTTTTGACAACTCAGCTGCTTATGTGCCTGTGTCCTGATAGAACAAAAATCTCTGGGAGAGAGGAGTAATGTGTTTACAGCTTTTTAAAAATGGAGACATCAATGGCAGTAGTTTATGATTAGAGGGAGGATGATAGTTCTGGAGGGAGAGAAATAGCTGTATATGCTTCCACATGGCCTTATGTCAGTAAATCCATTTTTTTTCCCTGAAGTGACAGTGACTTGCTGCTGTAATACTTGTTTTGCTCTAAGTTTCTGTTGCTGTGCTGTAGTTACCTTGGCACGTTCTGGTAGTGGTGAGGCCAAGTGATTTCCACAACGAGTCAAGCAGCGTAACTGGGCGAGATCAGTGTTTTACTGGTAACATGGGCCAGTAACTCGGTGAGCCTTAAATACCTTGAGTTGTCCCAGATTTCTACCTCATGTAAAGGTAACAGCCCTAGGTGGAGTTGCATCAGTGATTAAATACAGATTGAATACATATTAATGATGAAACATGATGAGCTCAAGGTTTCCCAGCTGTGAAATGGGATTAGGGCTGTGAGCACACAGTAAACATTTAATGGCTGCAGAAACCGGAAAATAATTTGATACAACCCTTTGCTTCAAACCTGTAGGTGATTCCCAGCTGCCTCCTGTTCTTAAGGAATATTGATCCGAGTCTTCAGTTCACTTTTTATCCACTTCATTTCCTTAGAAGAACTAATGTTTGCTAACTTAAACCCAGAAAATGCTTTTACTAATTCCAGTTGAATTCAAGAGGTTGGCACAAGGTTCCCCTTTACAGCTAGCAGAGAAATTCAGTGCATTGATCTAGCTCTTCCTTTTATGGCCTTTTCATAAGTAATAAACCTGCAGATCTAAAAATACAGTAAGGAGAGCAAATGTCACAGATGAAGGGCAGCCAGCTGTGTGCCTGGCCCTTTCATGCTGTCAGATACTGAGAGCTTGGAGTTTCCTGGTTATAAAAACACATCTTTGCCCTGTCAGTGCACGGTCACCTGTATTTCAGCATCATCTATGCTGATCAGTATGTATTGAGGGGAAAAATTCAGTGGCTCTTATCAAGGCATGGTGATGTGATGAGCCTTTTCATGTGTGCATTTCCTGAAATCCATCCATTGTCCTGCTTTGACACTATGCATTTGTTTCTTGCTTTAGTGTTTTAGCTCACTATATTTTATTTTTATTTTTACTTTTTTTTCTTTTTTCAAGTACATGGCTTAATCTACTTCTGAATCCCAGAAGCTGTTGCACTTACCTTGGACGCGTATAACATCTAGTAGTCAGATTTGATGTGACACGTTATTTTTCCCTCATTCCCTTTATTGGATTGTCTTCCTGAAGCAAATATGCCTCAAAAAGTTGCTTGCCAGAATATTAAGCTTTTACTGAGGACCGTGGGAAAATTGATGGTGGGAGCAGAAGCCTGAATCCTCCTGCAGAGCAAATAACACTTTATTTCAGCCTGGTCCTTCTTTCTCAGAGTTTGATATCTGAGCCCTGAGGGCTCCAGCTTCCTACCTCATATGGCTGGTCTTCATTGGGAACTGCCTGAGGAGAGTAGTAGCAGTGTTGAACCCAGAAGAGCGAGGCTGTCCTAAATGACTTCAAAATGGCCCTGTAGGTTGAATGGCTGTAATAAGCTCTCCATCTTGCAGTAATGCAAGTAAATTATTAATGCAGTAACTTCCAGTGTTAGGTTTATTTTTTTTCAACAAAAGTTTCACAAATTATTCTCAGAAAAAAAATTAATAAATGATAAATGTCTGAAAATTGCCTTGCAAGCTGAGTAAGGGCAGTCTTTGTGATTGATGGGTTTTGGTGCTTTCTCACTAGCAAGCAGACTGTGCTCAAAAGTGAAAACAGAGATATCTAAGCTTCTTTAACATATCTTTCTTCCAGGGACAAAGCAGTAAATGTGAGGTGATGGATGTGTGGGTAGCCCACTGCCTGCTCCTCTGGGCTGTGCACTTCTTCCCAGCTGCATCACGCACTGCTCTCAGGGTAAGCTTCATTAGACCTGGTTGGTCAGAGCCCCATCCAGCCTGGTCTTGAATGCTGCCAGGGATGGGGCAGCCACAGCTTCTCTGGGCGACCTGAGCCAGTGCCTCACCACTCTCACAGGGAAGATTTCCTTCCCTATATCTAATCTAAATTTCCCCTCTTTCAGTTTAAAGCCATTCCCCCTTGTCCTGCTACTACAGGAGAAAATATTTTGAGGTAGTCAACATGTTCAATATGCCACGCAACTTCCGGCACAACTCTTGTAATGTTAGAAATCTGCTATTCAGTCTGCTCTACCCAGCAATAACTGTGATTCGCAAGCACTGCATAGCCAAGCTTTGTTTCTAGACTAGCAAGGTTTGGCTGATTGTAAACAATAGACCATTTGAGCAAGCAGTGATGGAACCTGTTCTGTATTGTGCCTGGCTGTATGACACACAGTCCCAGTAAGTGGTCCTACCTGTATGTGTATTTGTAGAACTGTATCCGTATGTTATGGCAAAAGTCATATAGATTGCATATTCTCACCAACAAGTCACATTCTTATTAACATAAGAAATAACTGGAGAACTTAAGCCTAATGCAGGCTTTCTGATGGAGGAATAACTGCTGGAGGCATGTGTGATCCTGTCCACTAGCCAAGTATGTCACTTCACAGCAGAAGAGTGCAACTGAAAGCTTAACATATAGAGACAAACTGTTAGTAGAGAGTTGTCAGTTGGTCTGTATGAGCAAAGGGCCATGAGCTCTGTGTTCTGGACCTTGAAAAGACTTCTGAATCCCAAAAGGACTATTTTGCCCTTGGAAACACCTTTCTGGCTTGTGCCAATGAGTCATGTTTTACATATTTATTTTAACATTCAATCTTCATTCTACTTCTTATTTTTCAGGTTCTCAGTAAATCAGAGACTGATAATCAGCAAGGTACAGTGAATAGCTATGTGTCTTTGTTAGCTCTTTGTAAGATATTATCAGTTATCAATACATTATGCCAGTGATACCTCATAGACCATGATATGCTGTCTTACACCTTATAACGACATCTGATTTGTTTTTCAGAAGACTGTATAAATCTTATTCCCTGCAAAGATAATGGAGCTATTTGTATTCAGGCTTGTTCTCCCTCCTTCCATGGGGAGACAAGCTTTGTCTGTGAAGACAGAAAGTGGCAAATGTTCACAGATGCCTGTGCAAACCTGGATGTTCAGTCCCTTTTTCAGGTTAGGTAACTGTTATGCATCTACTTTGACCTATGCTCATAATTTCTTGCAAAGATAGCCCCTCCCTCTATACACTGTCAGCCCTAAGCAAAGGGAAGAAGGGGGGGATCCTAAAACACAGATTACTTTGATAAGAAGCTTTAACTTCATCTTAAATTGAGAAATAGGAAATAAATTTGGGCAACTCTTGTGTGAAAACATAATTCACAAGTGAAGTTGCCTTGTTCACTTGGTTAATGCTCCTCATGGGGATCTAAACCAAGAGAATGATACGCTAGGATGAACCTGAGAAGACAGCAATGCCAACACCTGTAATAATCAGACAATTCATGGTAAATTCTCCTCAACAACAAAATAAAGAACTTTATTCAAGTCACTTCAAGACTGAGTCACTGCATTTAGTTCTTGCACCTTCCTTCATGTGTGTTGTACAAGACATTCTTCTCATGTGAGCTTTGTCTCTGGGTGAGTTTCAGGCCACCTGGCACAGTCATTGCATGCCCCCGCACTGTACCTCTTGCCTGGCTGTTGAAATGAGCAAAATAAATGTACAAATGTTTAGGTGCTAGTAAGAGCGCAGCTAATGTTTAGCTACAAAATAAATGTAGCTTCATTTTCACTCTGTTCATTAATTTTCTTCAAATTTATTTTCCTCCCTCCAGAGGATTTCTGTGCGTGATCTCCTTCCAAGCTCTGGAGGACATGTTAGTGTGGCTGGAGGACAACTTCCTTTTGTAGGGAAAGGAAAGCCAGTGCATGGGAAGCCTGGAGATGCAGGAAAATATTTTGGTTCTGATGACCTTGGCAATAGTAACTGCCAAGCTGATTTTTCATGCATCATCCCAGATATCCTGTCTTCACCAGCCATTCCAGGAAATATTGCTGATATAGTGGAATTGCTAAAGAAGATTTCCCTGCTCTTATCAGTGCATGTTGATAGAGGAAAAATGCAGGTATTTACTTTTATGGTCTTTCAGGAGGTGTTTCTGAGCTTGCCAGGGCATCCATGCAGTGTTTTGTCTTTACAGTCAGCATTCAATTAAGTGGTGGCTGCAAGTCACATGAAGATCACCTGCTTTATACTTGCTTCTCCAATCATCTTTTGAACTATGATATGAACAGGACAATTTTGCTAGTGTTTAAGCCAATGAGATATTTCAGTTTGACTAGGATGGACCATTGTCAAAGAAAATTATTCCCTTTATAAGAATAACTTTGATTTAAAGGAGCCTTTCTGGAGACTCTGTCAGTAGAATAGTATGTTGTTTATTTTAATACAAAAAAAAAAACTAATTTTTTTCTTGTTTGTTTCAGAGCTACAGCAGGATAGCAAACCATATTCTGAACAGCTCTGTCATTTCCAACTGGGCTTTTGTAAAAGACAGAAATGCCAGTTCAATATTACTGGACTCGGTGAATTTATTTGCTGGGAAACTTCTTCTAAGGAATGGGTCAGAAAGCATACAGGAACACTTCATCTCTACAAAAGGCTACAGTGTACATAAAAATACTTCAGGAAAGAGCTTTGATTTTTCTATGGAGTTTAATACCACAGCCAATATCACTGGGCACGTGGTCATTCCAAAAGAAGAGCTTTTGAAGTTACCCAAGACTTCCAAAGCCATCAGCATTGCATTTCCAACACTTGGAGCCATTATAGAAACCAACCGATTGGACCCTGTTTCTGTGAATGGAATGGTGTTATCGGTGTCTCTGCCAGAAGAGCTCCGTCACGTTTTGCTCATCTTTGAAAAGGTGAATAAACTTGAGAATGTCAAGGCTCAGTGTGTAGGGTGGCACTCTACTGAAAGGAGATGGGATAACAGGGCATGCAAAATGAAGTCTGACAACATCAGCAGTGTTGTTTGCATCTGCAAGCATCACCATCGGACATTCAAATCCTTCTCCATTTTGATGTCCCCCACCGTGCTGCGAAATGCAGTGCTGGATTACATTACACGTGTAGGGTTAGGCCTTTCTATTTTCAGCTTGGTTCTCTGCCTTATCATCGAGACTGTTGTCTGGCATCATGTAACAAAAACTGAAATAACTTACATGCGCCATTTTTGTTTGATCAACATTGCTACATCGCTTCTCATTGCTGATGTTTTGTTCATCTTGGCTGCCATTGTGCACAGTACAGCTCTAAACTACAAGCTGTGTGTAGCAGCCACTTTTTTCCTTCACTTTTTTTATCTTGCCTTGTTTTTTTGGATGTTTACCCTCAGCCTCTTGATTCTCTATGGATTATTACTCATTTTTTTTAAGATAACAAGATCTGCATTCATAGCTACAGCATTCTTTATTGGATATGGATGTCCCTTGGTCATATCTATCCTCACTGTTGCTATTACTGAACCAAAAAATGGGTATTTAAGGAGTGGAGCCTGCTGGCTCAATTGGTATGAGACAAAAGCCCTTTTGGCCTTTGTTGTACCTGCTCTGAGTATCATTGTTGTGAATGTGGTGGTGGTGGTAGTGGTTGTGGTGAAGACTGGGCGATCCTCTGTTGGAGAAGGCTGCAAGTCACAGGATTTGAGCAGCATGATCCGAATTAGCAAAAATGTTGCCCTTCTGACACCTCTTCTGGGTCTTACCTGGGGGTTTGGATTAGCAACGATTGTCGACAGTCGCTCCCTGGCATTCCACGTTACGTTTGCACTACTGAATGCCTTCCAGGTAAACTCTGTGAGACTGGGAATAGTGTTGGGATTTAGTTACTGTCTGGGCTTAAACCATAAGTGTGTGTCTAGACTGTGAGCTTGGGAAAAGGTAGCAGATCAAAATGGGGCTGGCAGCATGCATTGTGCATGTAAAACGAGATCTGAGCTTTCCTTTTGACTCAACTGTTTTACGTCGTGCGTGCACTAGGCATGCTGCATTGACATTAAATTCAGATGGGTAATGGAACAAACTAGTTGGTGTGAAATGTGATGAGGAATTAAGACTATGAATTCGTGTTAAGCATAAAATACACTGGTTAATATCCAGTAACTGCAAAGATGTCTCATCCTTCTCAATTAACAAGTATGCAGAAAATTCTCAGTGGCATTGAAGATGGTTTTGGTTAACTCATCAGTATAAACATCCACTGTTACCTAATGTGCTGTTGTATACCCAGTCTGCCTTAGCTCTTCTTAGCTAACACTGCTACTGAGTGGGTTGAGAAAGTCCTGGTATGTAACCCATCAGTCCAGTTCCTAATGAGAATTAGCATGGGTTAGATATCCATTCTTGACATTCCCAGAGAGCCCGTGTGACCTGGGTGAATAAACTCATTTTGCACATTGTTGTTATCTAAGTCAGTGGTCAGATCAATATCTATATAAAATATAAAGTAGGATCTGGAAGCATTTAAGGAACATTATGCGGTCATGCTGGTTTTGTTAACTGGTTTTGCGATTTTTTTAGGGATTCTTCATCCTGTTGTTTGGGACACTTCTGGATAGAAAGGTACTTGGGTCACTTCAGCCCTTATTCTGGATTATTTTCTACACTCTGACAAACTGTTGCCTTTAATGTGTGTTTTAAAATCTACAGACGAGAGAAGCCTTGAGGATGAGCTGCCTTTCATCAAGGCGGAAGTGTAGTCTAGCAAAGGTAAAGACCTTTTTTGTTATCGTAATTTACCAAGTTGCCTTCTGATTTGTACACAGAAAGAAAGGAACCAGCCACTAGATCTTACCTACTTTCACATTTTTCTAACGCAAGTGCTTGATGAACGAAATAGAGGTATCTAGCTGAATATGAGCTTAGGATGGAAAGCACTCAGAACCGAGCCAGTGTGTTTAGTGCTAGTCAGTGTCATGGACAGAGCCATGCGTGACACAATTTAGTGTGAGGTGTCCCTGCCCATGGCAGGGGGGTTGGAACTTGATGATCTTAAGGTCCTTTCCACCTAACTATTCTATGATTCTATGTACTCATAAGAGCTTGAGGTTTTTATAAATATCAGCGCAATGCATTGAAAGCAAATGTTTAAACCTTAAAATAAACTGTGTTTCAGCAGCCCCCTAGGAAAATACAGGCAGAATTGATGCCTTGATATCACTGAATGTGTTCTACCTCTGCTGGAAAACTTTTATCTGCTGTTAGATTTCTTTTGGTACCAGTTGGTACTGGCTTTGACAGTTTCATGCCATGTTTATACAAGGGAATCCCCTTTTGCTATAAAGAATCGCCTGCAGTGATCCTGCTGTCTGCCAAAAAAAACCCTCAGTTCAGTCTGGACTTTGGAAAAATTATTTCCTTGCTTTTCTTCAGACTGTTAGTTCTGATTTTAGTACTGAAAGCTGCAGAGTGTCTTTCAGTTTCAGTGTATACCCTGTTTGTGGGTTATAAGGGTAAAAATGGGGGGGGTAAGGAGACTGTACCTCCCTTCTGCTGTCAGAATTGCCTAGTGTGCTTTGGGTCATCTGGCTCAAGAGAAGCTGCCTGTTTGTGCAACTTCTGACTCCTCTCCTCTGCATCTTTCCTCTAGAATTTAGTTTTGAGTTTCATCCAGCACTGCTGCTGCAAGCTAAGTTTAAATGCAGCACAGAAGGTCCTCTCTTTAAAAAAACAACCAACCAAAAAAACCCAAGTAACAAAACAACCCCCAAAATCCAGTAACAAACAGAAAAAACAGCCCCCAAACTTCTGCTAAAATAAACTGCTTTGTACCTAACAGAGGAAAAAGAGAAAGGAAGTGTTTGCAACTGCTCCATATTTAATAAACTGAGATTACAAGCCCTGCTTTTACAGATCCAGGATCCAAATAGCAGTGAAGATGTTTCACATCTTACTAGGCTTTAGGTGAGGATTGACAATTTGAAAGTTAAGGTTCTCTCAAGTCACCACCAATCTAATATTCAGGAAACATCACTAATCCCATGACTCAGCAACATTTGCTTAGAGTATGTACTGATCTCACTGGGAAAAACTTGATGTGGAAACCATAGCTGCATGTGCCTAAGAACTTGAATCAATGTTGTCACTCACCTGGGTGGAAGAGGCCACATGTAGGTGTTTACCATTGCATAACAGAGAGGAGGAAAATGTTAGTCATCCAGTTTTGCAAACTTGGATGTTAATAAGGAATTTGACTCATGACAGCTGGGAAAGTTTGTCACACCTGAAATGACTGTTAAAATACAAAATGAAAATATCTGGTTTTGGAGAGCTTCATAATGGGACCGTGTATCTGGGGGCTTAATGGTGATTATGTAAAACGTATAGAAGGGTTATGCAGACTCTTGCTTCAGGTTTCCTAGTTTCTCCAGACACATAAAAGCCTTTCTTCTGGATCAGATTTTAAGATTACCTTCTAGTAGCATTTCTTGCAAGACCTTGAGGCACCTCCTGTTTGAAATGGAGCCTCCATGTTCATGGATGATATCTCTAATACGACCTGCTGATTTCTTTTCCCCTAGTCCTAGCAGTGGACAGTTGTCTTCAGTGCGTTTGACCAGTGGGAGAAAAAAGGAGCATTTCTGACACAAAGGTCCTGGTTTGAGATGAGCCGAAGTGGCTGACCGGCTTGGAGCATGGACAGCACTGTCTTGGAGCACAACCACGGGAAACATCGTGAAAACCAGAAGAGAAAAGGCCCTGACCCTGCTGTCAGGAGCAGGAAACCATCAGTGTTGCTGCAACCCTTGGAGGAAAATGCTGATACATAAAGGATGTTTCTTACCTTCATGAAAACTGCTATGAGGAGAGTTTGTCCTCATTTGCAATTTCAGTTCTTCATTTCTATTTTTCCCATGTCAGTGCAGCAAGGAGCTGTACAGCATATGGAGCTGTTCTAAAATGATTTAATTTTTCATGTGATGTACCAATATTAAGTGTTATCTAGCTGCTTTTGGATGTCTTTGATAAAAAGTGTTTTCATAACTTCCATTTGTCCCCAGAGACTGATGGACAGCATAATTCTATTTCTGCATTACAGATGTTCTCTCCACCTCAGTATTTGTTCTCTCCATCTCAGTACTTGTCTGTCAGAGAAATTGTAAAAAGCCCCTTTTTTGATAGGACAGATTTTTCATTCCCTTTCCAGTCCTGCAACACAATGACAGAGATAGAGCACTCTGCAAATGATTAGCTTCCCTCTTCAGATGTGGGGAAGCAAGCTTTGAGTATGCTTCAGAGTTGAATCAAGAGGTTGAAGATCTGCCTTGTACTATGCAGTGTGCTAACAAAGGAAATGGTTCATCCATGTGAGGCAGTATATCTAGTTCCATTAGAAAATCAGTCCATGGTCTGAGAAACCCTTCGTTAATGAAAGCTGTGATAGAAATGCTATTGCCTCTTGTCAGGACAATTCAGTGCTTACAATGAAAATAAAGTTGAAGCTTTGTCACTGTTTCTAGTAAGTAAGTGGTCCTTATCCTTGTCTAACAAACAAAGTAGATAAATGCCCTTTAATGTTAGCTGGTATTACTCAAGTCAGAAATCATTTACCCCTCTGTGGCTTCACATAAGCTTGAAATATAGAAGATCTAATCAAAATAATACTGTTTAGTGACACACTGACAAGGGAAAAAAATACCTTGGCAAATGAACTGAGGGATGTGGGGCATGTGGATATGTACTATGGAAGCATCCACAGTCAGATGTTCTGGGAGAAGCAGGGTCTGTGGTGGGATGATCTGCAGGGCAGAGCTCTGCCCTGGGACATAAGACAGTTCTTGTCCCTAAGAATGTCTTCCTTCCTCCTGTCTTCCTCCCCCATTTCTTTCCTCATAGACTGTAGTCTTGTTGCAAGAGACTATACCTGCTCCTTTCATACAGCACATTTGTACATTGGAGAGCTTTGATCAAAGAGAGATAAATGGGGCTTATATGCTTCTGTAACAAATTTTAAAAGACCATTACCCCAAAGTGTTCTTCTTAGTGTTGAGCAGCATCTTCTGTGCTTCAGCTTCATTCTTGAAGTGCTGAGAGCATTTTTTCCTTTCCTTTCCTTCCCCCTCCCTTTAAAAAGACACATCTATCTTGGAGCTGTCTCTGTTAAACCCTTTCTAGCATCAGTAGCATCTCCTCCAACTTTCTGCATGACCTTTTTCAATGTAGTATCACAGCTACCTGTCTCGTGCTCTGTGTGTGTGTGTTTGCTTCACTGCAGTATTGTAAACCTGATTTATGAATTGGCTGCTGCATTTTAAAGAATGGTTCAAAGACTGGCACAGGATGTGTGGTGTGAGGTGAAAATGTTGGTTAGTGTTTAGTGTGTGCCTTTTGCAGCTGTGAACTTTGTCCAGATACCTCTGTAATTTCTGATGGATGGGGACCATGTTGTGTAGTTTGCAGCATGGAGAAAGCAACTGCTCTGCACCTAAATTTGCTGCAGTATATTTAAAAATACCCCCATTTTCCACCACATTTCATTTGCTTGTTATGAACTTCTTCTTTGTTAGTTTTACTGTTACCAATGAAACTTTAATAATGAAATGTTTGGATTTTTTTTTTTTTTTTTTGTAGCACCTCAGCCTAACACCTTACTCTTCTCTCCTGTGTGCATGCGTGTGTGTTGAACTGCAGTACTTTTACTGTGCATCTATAGACAGTCTCGGATGAGGCTTTCCATATTATACACACCCTCTCCAAAATACCAGGAAATTCAGTAGGAGTCTTGCCCAGGAATCTTTCATCTGCAGTTTGCTGAGAATGCATCCAAGCCATTTATCAACGTGTTTGAAGTATAGTGCTTATTTTCAGAAGCTGGCACACAACACAGTGCTTCACCCTGTGTTTTACGATTGTTTAGGTATTTAAAAATAACTGGGAGCTTACAGAGAATCAGTTAATGATATGGGATGTGGATGAGCACTGAAGTATTATTTTTAATAGCCCAAAAGTAAACTGACCTGGAGCATTTAATGAATAAATGTTTTTGAGGGGTGAAAGCTGTTGTGAACTGGTATTTCTTTAAATGCTGTGGGCTGATGACCCAGTTCTTATTGCAGCTAGCAAAAAACCCTAAGAAAATCACTGGATTTAGAATTCTGCCCGTTTCCCAAATTATCAGTGTAGCAACAGCTTAATGTCAGTGTTGAATGTGTCAGACCCCTTTATGTGCAGGAGCTTGTTCTGCTCTCCCTGCCAAAGTGGTCAGACTTGAAAATCCACAGTGCTCTTCTTCACAAGGTGTCACAATTAATGGATTGACCCATGTTTTCTCTGCAGGCTTACCGCATTGCTTATGTGGCCAAGCATACAGAGGTGTCAGCTCCTTGGCCAGGCAGGTGAAATTGAATTTTTTTGTGTCAAGGTTGACATGGAAACAAGTTACGTGGCAGAACTTTAATTTACCTCAAATTCTGCAAGTTTTATGTTGCCTTTCCAGAGCCACTCAGTTTATCCCCTTTTCTCTGCCCCATAAGAGATGCTTACAGTAGATGCTTGCCTATACCACAAGGCTCTGCACTGCCTGCTCTGGGCCTGCTTCCAACCTGCTGCCTGTGGCTCCAAGAACAAGTGGGTGCTTGACCTGTGGTCCTTCATAAAGGCATTGAGTGGTTCTGGGTCTAGCTGCTGCTTTGCCCTGTTGAGAAGTGTCTGATGCCCTGTGGTCAGTCTGTTTGGTTTTAGGTGTTAATGGTACATGTTGGTAGACATGCAGGGTTTGTAAGATAATGTTGCTCCAGAAGTTAAATCTCATTCTGGGGTAGAGGGGAAAGCAGTTTATGACATGCAGCACTCTTTCACCTCTGGCCCCACAGTGAAGATGCACCTAATATCTCTGGTGAATGGGCTTGCAAGAGAAAAGCCCCTTGGCAACTCTACCTCCTTCTCTGACTCCAGGTTCAAAGTTTTTGATTAGGCTAATGTTTTATTAGGCTAATAGTACCATGTGAATATATTTTTAGCATATCTGTAAATGTAATCAGGTCAAAATTTTAAAACCAGCAATATTCTCCTTCCTTGACCTTCAGGTCAGATGTCCCATTTGTTTAGCCATTGTGATGCTGAAAACTGAGTTTATGATTTCTGACATATTCTATACTATAAATCAGATTTCTTTGTTTGCGTCAATTCTCTCAAGGGAGACATAATCAATATCAAATGCTATGTGAATCGTATATCATTTGAACCTTTCTGTTATCTTTTGATGTAATCAAATCTTTTCCAAGGTTTTGCTCTGAACACTGTAGTTGGAGGTAGTTTTCTTGAATAGCTTCTGTCTGGGTGTAATGGAGAAACCTTTCTAATGGTGTAAAATTGGAAACTTGTTTGCATATGTCATGGTTTAAACAAGTGCCCTGTGGTCAGTCTGTTTGGTTTTAGGTGTTAATGGTACATGTTGGTAGACATGCAGGGTTTGTAAGATAATGTTGCTCCAGAAGTTAAATCTCATTCCGGGGTAGAGGGGAAAGCAGTTTATGACATGCAGCACTCTTTCACCTCTGGCCCCACAAGTGACTGCTACTGCTGAACCCAGGACAACATACAAGCTATATTTCGGGTCAAATTTATTTGGACACTGTGTTCCTTCACGTCCCTCAGGTTCCCACTGTATCTGAAACCCAGCTTGTATTTAGTGATGCCTTGAGGCTTGTTCACACTTTGGGAAAAGGGGAATGCACCTCCTGATTTTATAAACAGAATTCATCTGCTTCTAATTACTGCAGCCATGTGCTAAGGTCAAAAAGTCATTCTTTTTCACAACTGGGAAAAGTCATCTTAGGTCAGTTTATTTACTTAGCTGCAACTAGTAAATGGAATTTCACTTCTATTGCTCAGGAGTGCTCTCTTGCTTGCTTAAGCATCAGTGTTTAATTATAGCTCTTCAGTCCACATGAAAGATGTACCTATACCCCTTGGGTGCTTTTGTTTCAGATGGAGACTAGTAATAAATCACTTGTTTGGGCTGCTTGAAGATTAAATGTTGAACAACAGATTGATTATAATGATCATTCCAACCCTTGGGGAGTGCAAGCTGAGTTTTGTAATTTACTACTTCTTCATGCTGCAGCATCTCTGGTCACGGAACAGGCAGACTGTTACAATTATTGGGCTTTTGGAAGATTGAACTGTATTTAGCTTGAATTTGCCCAGCTTTAAATACTCTTCCTTAAAAAGAATAAGTTAGTAGGAGAGCAAGTGTTTTGAGAAGCAATGTGCTTTCCTTTCTCTGGTGTTGCTAAACGAGGTTTTCAGGAAACACTAATTAGTGGGATCTGGACAGTGGTGTGAAAGCAGTTCTCCTGCCTGTGAAACAGTCCCTTCTGGCCTTAACAGTCAATAACTATCCCAGGCCTTTCTTTCTATTGTAGTATTTTGCTATCGGTAGCCAAATGTGAATTTCTAGTACTATGGCTGGTCATCCCCAGGCACAGCTCCCTGCTTTAGCTGGCTCTTTGGTGGCAATTGTAAAGAAAAGGAAGGTGGAGAAATTGCATCAGTATACTTACATTGGTGCCAATCTTTTTAATAACCCCTGCTATTTGTGAGTGATATCTTTGTCCTGTTCTTGCTCTTAGAGTGGTTTTCCTCCAGAAACACTCCATTGACATCAGTAGTTAATCTTGGCTTCTCATGGTGTAAGAGAGCAGAATTGGACTCTCACATGTTTAAATTGCATCAGATCCATCACAGTGCTGTGTGCCTCTGAGCGACTGCTATTTCCACAGTAAAGGATTCACTTTTTCTGGGCAATGCAATCGTTGTTTCTGCTGTGATGTAGCTGAAGATCTCCCACGCTGCTGAGATAGTTGGCTTGGGTGCTCTGGGACAGTCTGGTTTTCTTGCTTAGCTCCTGTACTATTACAAAATGTTATCTTAGTCTTTGCTTGCTGCAGAGCCTAGGGTATTCATCTGGCCAGCTGAAGGGATACAGCAGAAATCTCATTATCTCCGCAAGTGTAGGAGCTGCTGGGCAT